CAACACTGGTGATAATGTCATATCAATCAGCTAAAACTGATGTCTTGCTGCCATTAGGTGGCGCTATGACTAGCGTTCAATGTTGCCACGTGGATGTCTTTAAGCCTTTGAGGCAGAGTGGACAATATGCATTTGAGTTTCAATGAAAAGTCACAACTTTCATAAGAGTCTGCAGTTTTCCAAGAAGATTTAAATTACGAAGACTGGAAATAATAAAAACAATGCATCCCAAATGCTTTACCTCTTGTTAAGGTTATCTTATGACTGCATGAGAGCTTTGTTCTTGGGATGTTACATTTTTCCAATTTTTCCATAAACACCCAGAGCGTATGTAAATTTTCATCCATGCCCAAATTCAAAATAAGATTAATTAATGTAAAGTAATAAACGGAGCAATCCCAACTGGTCCTTCATATGTTCAGGTCTAAAGCTTAGTGGACCACACAGGTCTGGAAACCAGAGCCGCACACTAACACCGACTGAAGTACCTGAGAGATGCTGAAAACACTTAAGGAGAGAGTCAGTCAGAGGGTTTGGCACTCTTTACCTTCCATAGAGGCCTTCTCCTTCTGCTGGTGTTGCAGCTGTTTAATCAGCTTCCTCTTCTTCTTCCCTGACAGCGTGATGTTGGCTCTCGGACTCGTCCTGATGGGACAGAAAATGTCACAACGCGCTGCGGCCATGAGAAGGTGGAGGAAGGAGGGGGTCAGCTGACACTCACCTTCTCTTCTTCAGGTGATGGATGGTGATGAGACCTTCATCCACCACAGCTCCCACGATCTGATGCCGCTTCCTCTTCTCGCGGCTCAGAACTCGCCGGCGCTTGAAAAGCTTCTTCCCTAACTCCTGCAAGAGAACCATGACACGTTCAAGGAAGGCAGAAACACTCGAGTGTTTAGAGCTCCTCATCATGCGGTAGGAACAAACAACAACAGCTGAAACATATCCAGGCTTTCTTTGAATTAGCTGACTCAAACAACTTAAACTCAGAGACAATGCAGATCTGAAACAGACGGTTAGAATCTAAATCAGGGGTAGATGAGAACTGGGCGAAAAATGCTCTGTGGGATATTTTGTTCTGAAAGTTGGAGTTGACATTCTGAGGACATGTGATATCAACATTAAAATAGTAATAAGTGTTTCTTTTCACTGAGCTCCACACTTTATCACACAAGAAAAGCTACAGAGAGACAACCCAACAGGTTGTGTTTATGAAACATCTGCAGCAGAGAGTGATGTACATAACCCAATGTAATCAAGACACAGCCACAGTTTGTTATTGATGTATGTAATGTAATCACACTTGAAGCAGGTGGTAAATAAATCAGTGTGTGTCTTGCAGCCGATTTAAACTGAAACCACAAAGTTAGGTTTAAAGTGTTAGCAGCTACACTGGAAACCAACA